CCGACAAAACCGTGACCGGATTCGAAAAGAATGAGTGCAGGCGATGGGAGATTCGATGACAAGAAAAGGAAGATACAGTAAAGGTCTCGATATGAGCTTGAAATTCTGCTAGTTCGTTGGGAAGACTGATATACCATAGATACTATAGGGGATATACTCCTCAGTGCTCTCGAGCATCCGTGGGGAAAAGAGATTCAGTATGAAGCGTCCGTCAGCTAGCCTTGAGCATTGCCTAAGCGGAAAGAATTCATACTTTCGGATTTAAAAGAGCATGATGATGATGTCGTTGGAGGTAACGTCTGCCTTGCGGTCTTCGCACACAACATTTGTCATAGATGCCGATACTGTCGATATGGTACCCATCCCCTGATTATATCAATATAATGCCTACCTACTCTTGTAATTATGAGGTAAAGTGGGAGGAGGATCTGGGAATCAAGAAGGGTTTGTAGACACACTCATATCAGCATTTGTGGATCGAAACCACCATTGAACTCACTCTCATGGCTCATCGAGTAGTGTTTAAGTTGGGGTAGGGTTTATATAATCGGTATAAGAACAGAGTTGTCTAACGACGTCTTCCGAAGCAGGGAGCCAGCCTAGCTGGAGCTCTTTTTTTTAATTTTGAGTTGTGGTATCTGTTCCCAGTGTAAACCGAGATAACCCGCATTGCAGTCCCAAGATTTCAGATGTGCCCGTGCATACAGTATCCTAGTGAACGTCGCGTTGATGACGCATCTATTGGACGTGCTTCAGGTGAACGTCGCTGAGGGCAAGATTGTCAGTTCAGTTATCTGAAGGTATCCGTTACGAAGTTTTGGGGGGCCAAAAGCCAACTCTAACTTACAAGATCAAGTCGGCATTTGGTGGGATGTGGCCGGTGAATCCACTATTTCGAACTCGTTAGTTGGATGCTTTTGGGAAGCAGGATAGAACATGGCATAGATGCGGGGTTCTGGCGCATATCGCATTGCGAGTTTGAATGAGCAGAATGGGTAATGTATATCAATGAACATACCGCGCGCCATAGCCGTAGTCACTGGGAGAGTAGTTGTGTCAGCTACTAATGAATGGATATCGAAGTTTGCGGGTAGATCATTACCTGGTGATGTACAGAGTGGCCTTCTCTCCAACCTTCATCTGGGTGACGCCTTGGTCCCAACCTAGTAGACAAAGCTAAGTATCAGCTTCAACATTTCCATCGGGAAGTAATCGGGAAGTAACCGGGAAGTAGGACACATCTATCGTACCCTTGATGACTTGGCCAATACCAATTCGCGTCACAAAGTCACCGCGACCAACAGATGAGTCGAACCTATGAAGCAATTAGAAAACGAGCTAACGAGATAGCGATCAAGGGGCCGCAAGGGGCGAGGGAAGAGCTGGCGTCAAATCACGGTACGAAAAAGAGGCAGCATGGAAAAAAAGAGGCACTCAAATACCAGCCAGAAGCAGTGAATGTGGCAATGCGGTAGGTAGGTAATGCGGTCATGCGGTCATGTGGGATGGAGGGCATGGCGGGGTATGTGATTGTGATTGTGATTTTTTTTAGACGGAGGATGTTTTCAACAATACGATGCTACTTACTTGGTGCCCTTCTGACCAGGCTTGCTGGCGTCCTTGAGCCAGCCAGTGTACTCGATAGTGACGGTCTGGCCGACGGCGGGCTGAGCGCCGGTGCCTTCCTGCAGAATAGTCTTGGTCACACCCATTGTGAAGAAAATAGAAGTGCAAAACCTGCGTTGATTTGTGGAAGGCGGGGATGGGGTCGAGGTTTGTAGTGATTGTAGTAGAAAGAACGGGGAATGGAAATATAAATATGTCAAGGTAAATATACGCGGGATGCTTAGCGTGAGTTCCTTACCCACCAGCCGGCAGCCAAGGTGAGGGGCAGCCCAGAGAGGTAGTCGCAGCTTACCATCTACTATCTAAGTAGGTATGAGGTATTATCTTGATTAGTAAGGCATACTCGATGCCTTTAATGCCACTGCCAGTGAAGGAACGATCAAGCATCGAGTAAAGTGAAATCAAAGTGAAGGCAAGAGCAAGCAGCCTGGCAATCCACGGTGTGACCCAAGGTGGTAGGCGGTGGTGGTACTGGTGGGCCTGTACCACATACCACATACCACATACCACATATTACACCCCTGTGCGCGGTAGGTTAGATACTTACCTAGGTATTGCGCAAGCTGTAGTACAGATTACGGGAGACGAATTCAAATGTTCCATCTGCGCCGCGCTTTCTGTTAGTGGTCTTTAGCAACGCAAAACGTACAAGAGCCGATCTCCGATTCTCCGCGGCTGGCAGATAGTGGTGAAAAAGTAGATAGGCAACCACAGCCCGAGGTACCTACCTACCTTCCAGCATTGGAGATTTGTCTAGGTACAGATTTTACAAAGAAGTTGGAAAGAAGACCTGGGTAACTTCTAGCACAGACTTCACGGGATACAGCTGGATCTGCACTGGGTATGACGGTGGTTCCATTTGCGGTACACTATCAGATACAAACTGTACCATAATTATAAGTACATACCATAAGTAATATAATTAACTAACCTAGTGGTGTAGGTACACTATGAGCAGGCCGCGGGGGGCAGATTCACCAGGTCCGGATTAGTGCAAGGGTATAATACCTTTTTATTTCGAGGTCAGCGTCATCTTGTTCCATGGCTTTTTGCTCTTTAGCTCACTTGCTTTGAAAAGAAACAAACAAATAGGTACAGATCCGTAGGCACTTTCTGATGGGTTCTTCCAGCGCCACCGGTTTGTGAACTGTGGATTTCGTTGGTGTGCGGGGAAAGCTGTGGGATTGGTTGAACCACGATCCCCTCTAGCTCGGGACCTTCATCCAGCAGCTTACATCTGCCATCCGTTCATCCATACATCCATCCATCCATCCATCCGACATAATAAAACATGGAACATATGTACATATTGGGTCGGTCATATGTGCCTTGCTCCGTCTGCTGCGTCCTCGTCCCCACGGCATATACAGGCGAGATAAGCGAAGGCAAAGCTTATATCTGGCCCTATCAACCACGATCATTCATTCAGATATGCCCGTGTGCAGCATGCTACCTACCTAAACCTGCTTGGATCCGCCATCTCTTTCATACGCCACCATCAGCCGCCGGGTCGATGTTGGTCCACGCCCATGGATGGTACCGTATCTCCTTCTGGTTGCTCCATTGAAGCAGTCATCCCCAAATCGAGCCACCTGGCAACTAATAAGGCACCAATCGTCTGTCTCGTCATGAGATTGTACGGTACCTATCTAGATAAATCGTAACTAGCGCTATGTCCAGACGATAGTTTCTAAAGACAATACTGCGATGGGTTCATTAGGTTATGGTGCAAATGCAAACGATCTGCCGTGCCGTGCCGTGCTGGTCTGGTGTCGTTCATAAAATTTACCCTTGAAAAGGAACGATCAGCACCTTTTTTTGGTCGGTTCGGCTGCACTGGAAGCCGAAGAAGTCTCGATACTCATAGCTCTTGCATGTGGTCTAAGGTCAGTTGCGTACACGGAAAAGCTCTCGCCATTATTGATTCGGTATTTTTTTTTGGTATTCGCTAGATGCACGCTCGCCAAAAACCTCCCCTCTATACACTTATAAGTCGTGGCGATGATCATTGGAAACATGAGACCCAGGCCCTGCAGATACCCTTGGAAGAAGGAAGATTCTACCACCACACGATACGATATCACGTGCATAAACCATTGGTAATGCCTCAGGTCACTATACATATATACCTACACTGCCGCGGTCCTGTCTCTTGTCAAAACAGCGTTTTCAGAAGTTTCAGAGGTTTATAACTTACCTGAGTGAGTACTGGCTCGAGTACGAATCATGTGATTCTCACGGACTATAAGTCTATGAGCCCCAAAGCTTACCTGTATTGAAGCACATCATCAGAATGAGATTGTCCCATATAGCCCCCCTCACCGTATCCTATCTCCTATCATTTGATTATATGAGACACCTATATATATAGGACTAATGGTAAGAGGAGTAGGCCTGTGAACTGAGTCGGCATTGGTAAGGCAAGGCAGAAGGCGTTCGACAACTGAGCGGATTTCTGTAGGGCCTGATGGAGTCGTTGGCTTGTTCCCCTCCCGGGCGGCCGGGCCAACTGGTGCAGACTCCAACGGCGGTAGATAGATCACTACATATCAAGCCAAGCTCCAGAACGAATCACGTAAAAAAGATGGACCTCTAGGTCTGCCATCACTCTACTGGGCCGCCAGTATCCCGACGGCAGCGGGGGATCCGGGATGAGTCTGTTCTTCACTGCTTCCGAGAAACGGCGCCGCAGTCGGGCGGGCGGGTTCCAACTTTTTTGTTTGCCCCACCCCAGGGTAAAAGACATGGCCGGACGTCACAGGACTTGGGCGGGCATTCAGGCGATACAGATGGGTAGGTCAAACCTCCCGATTCCTTGGAAGCTACCAGTCGTGGCACAGCCCTTTTAAGAGTGAAAGTCCGCACGTGTGAGGAATCAAACCTCGCCCGATTGCGGCTATTTATTACATTACCTACATACGTATATAGATACCTACCTACCTTGCGTAGTAGAGTATAGGTAGCCATTGGCCATTGGCCATTGGTAAGTATGCTCATGTAGTGCCGAAACCGGTATTTCCGTGTCGTCACCCATCTCTCATATACCTACACAAGTCTCAAGAGTGTTGTGATTTAATAGTTAAGTACGGACGTAGGTTAACCTTAGCTTGTAAGTTATTCCACCTAGTTAGCGCCTAGCCTAGGCAACAAATATCCGATCCTGACCGTAGCAGACCGTAGTAGGTATGTAATTTTGCCCCCAGTACCTACCTACCTATCATGCAATGTGATGCCAATTAATTAATTTTTTTTTAAAAAAAGGGAATAAAAAAGGCGTTGGTGTGTCTGTAGGTAAGCAAGCAAGCCACACCATGATGATAGGACATTGCATCCCTGGCTGTCGATATCCCGAATTCCGAGTTAACGGGCGAACCGGCTTAGTGGTCTAGTGGTATGATTCCTGCTTCGGGCTTCACGAAAATCCCTTCCGTCTTACACGGGAATGCAGGAGGCCCCGGGTTCGAATCCCGGCTGAGCCCTTTCTTTCAATTTTGTCTCGTTGAATTTGCGAGTTTCTTCTTCTTCTTCTTCTTCTTCTTCTTCTTCTTCTTCTTCTTCTTCTTCTTTTTTTTTTTGGGGGTCTCTCACTATGAGCGGTTAGTTTTGAACCCAGTGTTCAAAATCGGGGGGGTTTTTTCTTTTTTTTTTTTTTTTTTCTTCTTTTTTTTTAACTGGTAACTGAGGTCGTTAGTTATATTTTACTTACTACCTATGATCAGATGAATTTGCGGCATGGACATTCACAACACGTAGTAGTAATTATTAATGAGTGTAAGTGAGACACCGCTGCTGCTTTTAGGGTGGCGAGTGCAATATTTTTTTTTTTTTTTTTTTGTTTGGGGAGAACGTTCCCGGGAGGGGGGCCTTTTTTTCGCCATCACTATCTCTTTATTTACTTACTTACCTACCTATGCTTATCACGATGCTTTCGGCCATCCACGAGCGGTCAGATCAGGTCACCCAATGATTCTCTGTCGATAGGGAAGGGTCGGGCAGGTGAAGATAAGCCTGTGGATCATAGGATACAACCCATTCTGAGACCGCATAATCGAGCATGATGGCATTCATGCCAGATCTCTCTCTCTCTCTCTCTCTCTCTCCTTCTCATATCATCATCATCATCATCATCGTCGCATGTCCTCTGCACGATGTAGAGCAACTACCATGAGATTGTCAAAAATATGTGTGGGTGTGTGGGTGTGGTGTTTATTAACACCCGATCGACTGGTATTAGTTGTTAGTAGTGGCGCTGAGCTGTAATACCGGAGCCAATTAATTGACCCAGAAGATGTGACGTTCTATCGGAGAGGCCGTGATTGTATGGAGAGTACAGGAGAATAATGGACGTATCTACCGAAATTACAGGAGACAGATATCCGAGTTCCCGGAGCCACTGGTCAACCGAGAGAGACTCGGGAGAGAGAGACGAGGCCTTGTCATACGGGATTAAATGGCCAGCACGACGCAGCAGCAGACAACTCGACCCGAGGATAGAGGTTATCATCTCTCATGGGATAGTTTGATGTGTATACGCCATCGTTGCTGTACGGAGAGAAAGATTCGCGGCTTTCACACGTATAACAGATTCCGATAGTTAAACCAAAAATTGCACCAACTCCATAGTCTACTACCATAGTCTACAGCGATCATCTTCGCCCAGGTTATTATGATCGAATTAATTATGATTGAAGAGATCTAAGGGTTGTTTCCCGAATACACGTATGACAAAAGAGAAGAAGAAGATAAAAAAAAAAAAAAAAAAAAAAGGTGATCGTATCCCCAGCATCCATCTCATTGTGTCGCTGATACGCGTTGGTATAGGTACCGCACTCGGTTTCAATACTTTACTCAAGTGCTCCCGTCATCGTCAGCTCGTCATCATCATCATCGCCATACGGAGTCGTGATTAATTTTCTCCTTCTCCTTCTCCTTCTCCTTCATCATCTTCCATTTCTCCTTCTTCTCCTTCATCATCTTCCATTTCTTCTCCTTCTCCTTCATCACCTTCCATTTCTTCTCCTCCTCCTTCATCATCTTCCATTTCTTCTCCTTCTCCTTCTCCTTCATGATCTTCCATGTCTTCTAATGTGAAAACGAGTGTCAACAATGAACAAAACGTTGGGAAGGAGAACCTAGGGAAGGAGAGAAAAGGTGTAAAACGAACCATTGTCAATATCGACACGGATAGGGGTCTCATTGCCCAGTTCTATTGCAGTGAGGATGTCTTTGACGATGAGACGAAGCAGGCGCCCCCGCCAGACCATCGTCGTCTTGTCTTTCGATCCCTTGAATCTGACCTCCCTATATCTTTGATTCTGGCCCCGGCCGCACCCCAGTCTCACGTAAGATAAGCGAAACTCTGTGAGGCAAACTTGGGCTCTCGCCAGCTCCAGGCACATAAGAGCCCATTTATTGATGAATCTGCCTGTATTATACAACAGCATGACCCTGTGGAAACTAAGGCTCCGCAGTGTTGACTTGTATTTGTTGACCAGGGCCATCAGTATGCTGGTCCTCGTGGTTACCATACCGATCTCCAGACATCGCAGATTTTGAAAATAGGGACTAGGCGGATAAGCCGTGGGCAGAGAATCGGAGGCCTTTGAAATGGGGGTTAATGCCAGTCCCGTGTGCGATATCACCATGGTACTCTATGGGCACCTGTTACTCACATTCGCCGATGATAATGAGCACAAAGAGGTTGACGTTGCGTCACTACTTTCTTCTCTTGCCTTTGCTAACCATTTCAGAAACTTGTTGGAGCCATTCCTGATGAAATGCCGAAAGTTGATCCGCAAATGCTCGAGCGCCGGGAGTCTCACCAAAAACCTCGAGAAGAAAAACAAGTAGCCCTGTGATGCCTTCCCGTGACTGCCACTGACAACATACGGGTTGGGCGTGGTGTAATAAAGGCCATCCAGGAATATGGTTGTGAGTTTGTTGAGTGCTAACTGAATTCCGGCGCTCAGGCGATCTGGTATCTTAAAGGCTTGGTCCCGAAGGAGACAGGTATGTAGAATAACCTCAAATCGAGTAAGCTTGGTGCCATAGCCGGAGACTAAGTCACAGGGGCATTATCTCGTTAGTAATTTCTCTGATAATATGGGAGGGGAGCCGCGCAACAGCAAACGCTCTCATCATGGAGAGGGGGGCAAAGGACATGAGGGCGGCATGATACAAAGGCCCCGTGGGTACCTAGATGGCCCTGTATTATGTAGTATACAGAGCCTGGAGAATAACAAAGGGCAGCACGTATATAGAGATACCGTACCCGCGGCGTTTCCCATGGCTCGAAGAATCGTCAGGAAGACGTGACTGGGGTAATGAAGAGGAATACCCTCGCGGTCAAAGTCACCACCTATCGACAGTATAAAGTGAATGTTCCGAAGTTTTGAAGGGCAACCGTAGCCGTTCCAAGAAGTCCGATCACGATGGCGACTTTCGCTATCGAAGTCTCGCATGCCGATTGTCTCGAGATTGGGCAAGTTCTTGATGGCCTCGGTCAGCATCTCGAGGTCTGAGCCAGAAGTGATGAGTTCATGAAAGCTAACGCATTCGGCGTAGGCATGGTTGCGCGTGATTGCCCAACTCGCAAGTTCCGGGGGAATACGGCGCCGATGATCTTCCTGGAAACATACGGGGCGTCCTAGACGAATGATGAGGTGTGTCAGACTTGGGCCAAGCCGGGACTTGGAAATGTCGACAAGAGCTTGCAGGCTGAATTCCACCATGGCGAAGTGTCTCTTGGAAAAGAACTCCTTGGTGAAGACGCCAAACAGCGTTGCCTCAAGCTGCTTGCATGTCCTTCGGAGATATCCATACTCGGGAGTGGTAAGATATGAGGTGATCTGCAGCAGGATCTCAAAGGGAATATTGAGCAGGTAAGTCATTCTTGGGGGGGCAGACTGGCGAGACAATGGAAACGAATGGCAACTCTACAAGAGGACTGAGGACTGAGGACTGAGGACTTCGAGTTGCTTTAATATATCCGTACGGTAGACGAAGCAATGCCCGGGTAAAGCCGATGGCAAGCCGCTTGAGTACGAGATACCTTGCCAATTCTACCTACATAGTAGCCTCTATTACTATGCAATAGGCAGCCTCTGGATACTTGGGTACCTACCTAGGCCGAACAGTTGGTGTTGGTGTTGGTGTTGGCGTTGGCGTTGGTGAGACCGTGAGCCCCGGCCCCCTGGCGAATTCTACTTAGATAGGTTACTACAGGGCAGTAAAGTGGAGCTGCACCGGTAAGTAATTACCTACCTATAACTATAATATAGCACTAGATAAACAGCGGGATCGCTTGTTCATGTTTAGGCAACCGTGCCCCACCATCACTTAATATAATTATATATATGTCCATAGCCGTGTTCTGACCGGAGAAATCGTGAAGACCGATACGTAGTTTGGTATGCTCGATGGCGTCATGGTGATGACTAGGTAGTTAGTTCACGCAGGCTGTGAAAAGTTATACAGCTCCGGTAAGCCAATCATTAGATAGGTCAGGTGCTTTGTAGGTACGTAGGTATGTACTATCTATTAGGTTTACTTGGATCACTCGTTTTAACCCATGGCACAACAGCTGGGCTTCTCAGTTGTTACGAACATAGATACCTAATTACCTACCTATGTGAAGCGTCGACCTAATGTCCCATCATGACATATATCTGAGCCGGCCAAAAGCAAAGGGTATCTTCAATTGCTATCGTTCCAATTGCAGAATTGTGCAATTTGTACGGAACCGGGCTGGTTTAATATACATACATGGCATAGAAGCATCGATGGGAGGGGACTGCCAATAGGTTGGGTACCTACCTACCCATCCTCAGTGGCCTTTGGCTCGGGACTGCGGTCCCCAATTCTCCCGAGGGTTAGTCTGGTATCGGACCAGTCCCCGCTTAGATTTGTCGCGGCCGAGATGTTGGTCGAAAACAACTTCCGGTTCCGGCTCCGGTTCCGGTTCCCGTCCCGGCTCGTCGGCCCCGCCCTCTTTCTTTTCCGCTTTTCCCATCCGAAGTAGCCGGTACGCCGGGCTGTTCTCTCCGATTTTCTCGGCTTTCACAGGGTGCTTCTGGCGCGTCCACTCTCTCATGACATGCCACACGACTGACCACGGCGCATTCGTCTTCATGCTGCCTCCCTTGCAGTGACTTCGGGTGACCTCGTAGCCGAGATGACGCAAAGCACCCCTGAAGCTATCTTCGTCGGGACAGATGCAATGCATAGCACCCGCGAGGTTCGTGGGGTGGAAATAAAAGGGGTAGGGCTCCAGCATTGCATATTCATCTTCCTTGATTTTTGGCGAGTCATCCGGTGGCGGCGGAAGCGACAACTCCTCGAGGGCGGTTTGCAGCATGCCTTCTATCCGTGGTTTTGTGCCATAAACAGCATCCGAGGCATTGGGCAAATCGTCCAGAATCTTCTTGATGAAGGCCGCAGAATGCAAGGGGCCGGCATACATGGGGCCAGCAAGATGCGT